GGGGGCTCGTGGCAGGCGTAACCTGCAGCACCAGTCCAGTCTCAGGATGTGTACAGCTCTAGGCCCAGGGCACATCATTCCACCGCAGAACAAGACAGTTGCGTCCCACAAAGGTATGTGGGTTACTGAGCAGAGACAGTGGAGATAAGTGCTGTTTCGAAATGTGGGAAGAACTTGTGGGGCAGAAATAGTGCATAAAGACAAACTATTAGAGATATCCGGTCTTTTTAGAGGCATGGCCGTACTAGGTTTTTGCATTCCCTTGTACTGTGTTCAGGAGAGGCAAGCATTTTCCCACTTCTCTTCCTGTTCCATTTCACTGTCCACAGGTAGTTGTTAATTAGTACCTGATGTCCAGTAGTTTCTCAAGGTGACTCGGAACATTTTGCAATATCAAACAATCCATATCACTCTGAACTAAAGGTACTTGTAGGTCTAGACATGCATGAAGCACAATATTGATTCTTCACATGGCAGCTAGGCAACTATTGAATACCAGATTAGGGATAGTTTTATTTTTATTAGAATATGTCCGTTTTAACTACATTCTTAAAATTATTGGAATTTTGATTCATTTAAGATATTTTCATTTATAGCTATTAAATATCTAGACAAGTCTCCTCAGGTCCCCTGAAACTTGTATTTGTTTCTTTGCCCACATTCTGCAGATACTGGTGAGGAGATAAAAGATAGCCCACAAATGAAAAACAAAACCAATTTTGTAATTTAATTCAATCCAGAATGGAACACTCAGCCAAACTTATTTCAAGACTGAGGATAAAATACATATATATATTTTCTTATTTAAAAAAAATTTTTGGCAGAGGTTTTTGCTATAGGGCACGTGTGCTCGCCAGACAGAGACAGAGAGACAGAAAGCGAGAAATCACCCCCCAGGGGGGATGGCCACACCGCAATCCCTTCTCCTCCGTTCTCTTGGGGTCTTGGGCACGCATGCACACGTGCCCGGCATGAGTTTTAAGCCATCAGGTTCCGGACTTGAACCACGGTTGATTACATGGGAGTCCAGCAACATAGCCATTACGCTAACTGCTGGCCCCATGATAAAATGTATTTTTTTTTTTTTTTGGAGAGATTTTCACTCTAGGGCGCGTGCGCTCCCTCCAGAAAGACAG